CCCAAGCAACCTGAGCCGCTGACCATCTTTCACCGTGGTTTCCGGTCAAATTCCATATTAACAGATTCTCTTTATTTGTCTCCCGTAGATAAACTTCGAGGGTCGGCTTCGACTTAGCAGGCATGAGGTATTTGAAACGCAGACACAGGCCCACGGATCTATGGAACGGTTGCCATGGCAATAAAGGACTGTCCAGTTGTGCTTTGTAAGGGCCATCAATAAAAGCAAAACTACCTGTATTGTAAAAAGGAATCTTGTACAGTTGCAGTAACGCATCGCGTTTTCAGTGAGCCAAAGCTGGAAGGACCCGGGAAAGTGTGCCTGGGAAGTGTAAATGTTCATTGTTTCGCCAGGAGAGTGTTAAAGAAACAAAATTGATTTTCAAGGCGGCTGGAATAGCACAGCAGCCAGAGCTTATCAAGGTTTCTGCCACGACTCATACTCATAGGGCACGGAAGACAGGCAAATGGAGTTTTAGCACTGGAAAAGATTTATGCCGTCAATATTCTTCAGATTTGTGCATTTTTGTCAAATTAACACTCCTGTCAAACTACGTGATCATGAATGATCGTGATCAGTACCTATGTATAGCTCTGAGATTCCCCTCTCTCTTTTCAACTAACCTGAATAGTTAACAAAGGGTTTAGCACCGGTTAATTTCCACTTTTTGGGCATGTGATCTGGGTGTGTCCATCCGCAATAATCAGATTGGAAATAGCACTCTATTAACACCACGGCTAGTAAGTAGCTAAATGAAGTTATCAAAATTAGTTGGTTTTAAATCAGAAGACAAGTTAAAAATTACAAGAGAAAGGACTTCACCTTGAAGATGGAGATTAGCTAACAACCTCTGATCGACAATACTCTCCAGATTACTTGCAAACGAAGAGGAAACCTGTATTAATATGCAGAAATGTGAGTGGAATAGTGCACTGCATAAAATGGTCCGTATAAGGACCCTTCCTTTGGTTGTACACAGTCAGTACATCTACTCTTATAGATTTAGAGGATAAGCCATCTTAACCTCACGCTTTGTCAATAACGCCCATATACTGACCTTCACTGTAAAATTTTCCGGCTGTTTGACCGTGTCGAAAACAGCCGTGAAGGATGTGTTTACACAAGAAAGGCTCACTGCTGGGTTCACTGTTTTGTTTTCTCTTAGCGTTGAGATATTCAGTTGTAGCGGGCAGTCTGGGCAATACAAACCATCGCAACAGAACTGGAAAAATCCTATTTAAAATGAAAGTAGCGATGTTTGTATGCAAGGTTTGACGTCTATAAGAGTACTATGTTATTTGTGTTCTTTTTTTAACCCTGAATCGGATGAAATGGCGTCAGACTCATTTTCATCAACTATCAGAGTTAATTTTTTTATAATTAAGCCTTTTTTTGGATAATAGTTTCATAGATATTACTTCCGAGTAACGGAAACATCGACACAAACGTAGAATACTCTCTTCCTATAATGGTAATACTAATAATAAGTAAAGTTATTGATCTCAATGATGATCATTGTAATACCAACAATAGAAGTACATGAATCACCACTATTAACATGCAAGAACTGAGTAACTCACCTGAAATGCGCAATTCCTTACCAACGAAACCAGATATGGAGGATTCGTGATTTTCAAGTGTCACTTCTAGTTTACGTGTCCCTATCAGAATTGAACGGAGAAGCAGCTTTTAATAATCACCACGGTGTAGTTCTGAATGATTCTTGCTTGCGGCCATGACAGCTGCTATATCCAACAACATAACCGTCCGTCATACCTGGTTTAGTCCAAAATAGTCTTTTTCTTGGAATAGGCCGTTCATATTCACCATTTGGTCTACGCATGCCTAAAGATGCGTGGTCCAGGCCTCCTATTTCACTCATAAAGACCTCCATTTGGTAAATGCGACATTTGTCCAAAAATACTGGTTGTGATGTTTGCTGGGCTTTATACCTTAAAATAAAAAAAAAAATAAAAAAAAACGTTAACGATCTAAAGAGAAGAACACCCAGAAACGTAGATACCGCCTGTGGCGGTTTTCTCCGCATAGGAAACGAACACGAGTAAGGCTACTTCCTCTCTGTCCTTGGGTAATTATCTTCTTTTTCGAAAGTTTTACTGTGTGAGCTCTCAAAAAGGTGTCGTAAAAAAGACCCTAACATGAAGATCGCACATAATTTCTGACCTAGATCCGGAATTTAGGGTGCTTAAGAATCGGTCGAAACTTTTTTTTCTCGAATATTTTTTAACGTACCATGATGCACATCTAAGTTTCAAGCGACCCTAATCGTATCAATTCTTATTTTGCGCGTCTCACTTGTCCCATTGTTGATGGCCAGTCCTTCTTTCAATGGTGATGATTGGTTGCCTTGACACAGTCTTTTCTGACTTCTTATCAACAGTTTCAATGCCATCCTCAGTAACATCCTGTATCCATAGTTCACATAAATCATCGCATGCTACGTAAAATGTGTAATTACCACTCTCAGGAACCTGTAGAAAGATAAATGCAATATCTAAATTGACAAAGGAAGGACGAAAAACGACCTAAGGCTAGACGAGATTGCATTTTCGGTTACTTCTTTTCATAGAAGCTGTTTTGTTGCCTCTCTGTTTTTCCACCCGTTCAAGGTCACGCGATTTTGTACCAATCCCCTTGCACGAATAGAAGTTTTGAAAAAGCAATTGCACTTTTTCGACTTCTGTAGTCGTTCCGATGGTGAAACCCTACCTCAGATTTTTCTGTTGTACGATTTTGGTAAATGATATTTTCACGAAAGCTTAAGGGTGAGGCAGTCATCAACTACACAGACAGATCTGTTGTTGACTATAGAGACGATTTTAAAGAGTTTGTTGATGACCTGTACTCACAATTATAATGAAAAAATTACCTGTAAGTATCCAGTCAAGCGTTGAATGTAGTTTTCTGCCACGTTTACCGGTGTATCGAAATCTCGAAGAATTATTTGGCTTTGTGGTGTATCCCGGAAAGCAGGATTTTCGCGCATAGTTGGTGCTTTTTCAGTGTCGTAGTTAACGTTATACCATGCATCACGCCAAACTCCGTGGATTTCGCTGGTGAACTCTACAAAACAAAGATAGATGGAAGCCAAATGAATGAAAGTGAACATCCCCTAATAACAAAAATGGCATTTGAAATGCATGATGTGTACCAGAAGTTACAAGTTTTGGACGACAAAGAGTTATCAAATTATCCCTGAAGCTTTGCAATCGTTCGTTGATAAGTATTATGA